TAAAAGCTAAAACAACCAGAACATATGCTAAAAGCTAAAACAACCAGAACACCTGCTAAAAGCTAAAACAACCAGAACACATGCTAAAAGCTAAAACTACCAGAACACATGCTAAAAGCTAAAACTACCAGAACACAAGCTAAAAGCTAAAGCTACCAGAACACACGCTAAAAGCTAAAACTACCAGAAGACGTGCTAAATGCTAAAACTATTAGAACACATGGTGATAGCTAAAACTACCAGAACACAAGCTAAAAGCTAAAACTACCAGAACGCATGCTAAAAGCTAAAACTATTAGAACACATGCTAAACGCTAAAACTGTTAGAACACATGCTAWACGCTAAAACTATTAGAACTCATGCTAAAAGCTAAAACTATTAGAACACATGCTAAAYGCTAAAACTATTAGAACACATGCTAAAAGCTAAAACTAAAAGAAAACATGCTAAAAGCTCAAACAAGAGGATATGCTAAAAGCTAGAACTAGCTAAACACTCACTAAAAGCTAAAACTAGCAAAACATATGCTAAAAGCTAAAATTAGCAAACACTCATTAAGTCTAAGCCTAACAGAAAACTTGCTAAAAGCTCAAACTAGCAGAATATTTGCTGAAAGAAGCAAAACAATTCTTGAAAGCTAAAAGAAGCAAAAATAAAAAAGCGCATTTCTTGCTAAAAGCTAAAATTAGCAAAAGTCACTTAAAGCTAAATGTAGCAAAACTCTTGCTAAAAGCTAAAACTAGTGGAACAATTCCTAAAAACTAAAAGAAGCAAAATTGGTTAAAATAAAGCATATCTCGTCACAAGCTAAAATAAGGAAAACTCAGGCTAAAAGCTAAAAGAAGCAAAATATTCAAAAAAGCACATTTTTGTTGTAAGCTAAAATAAGCAAAACAATAGCTAAAAGCTGAAAGAAGCAAAAATTTTGTTAAAGGTAAAATAAGCAGTAAAAAGGCTTAAAGCTAATAAAAGCAGAACATATTTTAAAAGCTAAAAGTAGCAGAATAGTAGCTAAATGTTAAATGTGGCATTAAAAGACAAAAATGAAGCAGGTTTCGAACGGAATAATGTTTATTTAAAGGTTTTTGAGTTAAATATTTGTAAATTTAGATTAATGTTTTTAAAATTTACCATAGATAAAACTCATGGTGCCCGTGTCCTTAATGAGCCGAAGGTTTTTGATGTTTGTCCTGAATGAGCCGAAGGTTTTTGATGTTTGTCCTTAATGAGCCGAAGGTTTTTGATGTTTGTCCAGAATGAGCCGAGGGTTTTTGATGTTTGTCCAGAATGAGCTGAAGGTTTTTGATGTTTGTCCAGAATGAGCTGAAGGTTTTTGATGTTTGTCCAGAATGAGCTGAAGGTTTTTGATGTTTGAGGCTGGAAAGC